GTTGTTCAGCATCTTAGCTGTAGAGGGCAGTGTCACTGGCCCTCATATGTGGGATCCGAACCGGGGCTCTCTGGTGTCCCAAGCCAGCTCTTAACCACCGCACCACCTCGCCGGCCCTTGATAATTCTTATATACCAGAAAAAATTGTTTTGCCTTATTATGCTAAAAAATGAACAAATACTTATGTGAACAAACAAGTAAATGTGGAGACAGGAGTGGTGGGGAGTTACAATGAAGTGGGTTTTGCAGTACTATAGTGACTTCAAAAAGCCTGGTCTCTGCTGGAGAATCGCTGGTCCTGGCCTTGCTGTTTCTTAGAAGGATCTCCAGGGAGGGTTAGATGGCTGGGGATTCAAAAAATCAAGGGGAGGATGATTGGGAACTTATAAAATGTGATAGAGTAGACAAATTATCTTTGGTTGGCTTAGGGACTATACCCATCATTTAAAAAATTATCTACATGCACATCAAACTATGAGCCAATAGTATTTTCACTACACTCTTAATATACTTTTGCCATTATATTTTGACTTTATGTATATAACCTTGTAAAAATATAATTATAGAATGATGAAGAAGACAATTTACTGAGTACTTTCTATGAGTCAGGCACTGTGCTAAGTGCTTTTCACGTATTATCTTAATCAGTTTTCACAACAACCTTATAAAGTAGATACTGTTATTTTCTTATTTGACTGATAAGAAAACTGATGCTCTGAAGTCACTTGCCTTAAGTCTGCCTGGTTAATGAGTAGCAGAGTCAGGCCTAGACTAGGACGGAAAAACATGCACAATCTAACGAGGTTTGTTCTCCCAACCACTAAACAAACTGCCACTTTGAAAGAATTACTGGTCTTCTGTATCATTTTCTGTTGATATCATGCAATGTGCCATTCATCAAATAAAAGGAAATTATTAAAGGTGCTATGAAAATAATATTGACTAGTTTATGAGATGAATAGTGTTTGAAAAAAATGATGATTATAGTGATTGAGCCAAAAGTAAAGTACTCTTTCACATGTGTTTCAAGGCATATTTTTTAGACTAAAGAAGTAGACCTAACTTCTTAAGCTATTTTTAAATGTGACATATTTAGAAATGATAGGAAAAGGAGCAAACTCTTGTTGATATTAAAGAAAAGATATGCACACACATAATTATCAATTGGTATATGATCAAATGATTTTTCCTTGGTCTTGTGCATGATGACCTGCTTCCTCTTTTATTGACTCTTTTTTTTTTTTTAAGATTTTTATTGGGGAATTGGGGGAAGGGGAATAGACAAGTTGCTATCCTTTTGTTCTTCAGTCTAGTTGTGGAGGACGTTGCTTCACTGGCCCAAGTTGGCACCACCATTGCGCTCTTCCTGGGTGAGGCAGATCAGTCGCCGGCTTCTGGACGGCCACTCACTGCGGCTGCTGGCCGCTCACACTGGCTGCTGGCTACACACTGTAGCCCATGGCAACCCACCTGCTATCGCTGGCGACTCACAGCAGCCCAGCTCCAGATCGAGCTGTTGTTCAGTATCTTAGCTGTAGAGGACAGTGTCACTTGCCCTCATATGTGGGATCTGAACTGGGGCCCTCTAGTGCCCCAAGCCAGCTCTTAACCAATGCGCCACTCGGCCGGCCCTTTTATTGACTCTTCCCACCCCCATTGTCCCTTTTGTTATTTAAAGATTTTTATTGGGGAATTGGGAGAGGGGAACAGACAAGTTGCTGTCCTTTTGTTCTTCAGTTTAGTTGTGGAGGACGTCTCTTCACTGGTCTATGTTGTATTATCATTGCACTCTTCCTGGGTGAGGCAGATCGGTCGCCGGCCATTGGACAGTGGTTCATGGTGACTCACAGCAGCTCACACTGGCTGCTGGCCACTCACAATAGCTCACAGCAGCCCACTGTAGCAGGGGCTGCAGCCTACGCTGTTGCAGGTGTACTCAAGGCAGCTCAGCTCCAGGTCAAGCTGTTGTTCACCATCTTAGCTGTAGAGGGCGCAGCGTCACTGGCCCTAATGTGGGATCCGAACCGGGTCCCTGCTGCTCAGAGCTGGCGTCCCAAGTCAACTCTTAACCAATGCGCCACTCGGCTGGCCTCCCATTGTCCCTTTTTGAGGCTTAGAAGTATTATTAAAATTATACTTTCAAAGTCAGAATTAGATTTATTAAATATGAAATAAAAATTTTTTTTTGGTTGTTTATTTTCTATAAATGTCTTTCTCTGCCTCATTGTGTTTATCTCATATTTCTTCTGTCTCAAATGTTTTTGTTTCTTTTTTACATAGCACCACTAAGTCTTCTCCTTTCCCTACTTCAAAGCTGTGCTTAAGATTCACTTCCTTGGACTTGGGGTAAGACATGTTAGCTGAGCTCTAGATCTCAGCTTAGACATCCCTACTCTGGAAAAGGCCTCCCTGACATCGTGGCATTGGATTCGGTGAAAGTGCCACTGCTGTGTGCCTCCATTGCCATATCAAAGCACATAACACACTTTCATTAACTTAATGCTTTTGAAGATTATAGGCCAGTTATTTTGTAGAATGTCTCTCAGTTTATTTGTGTATGATATTTTCACGTGATTAGATTCAGATTACGTATCTTCTATGATAGTCAGGAATAGCACAGATGTGACATTGTGTTCTTAGGTGCACAATGTTCAGTTATATAATATTTGGTGATGTTACATTAATTATTTTATTAAGGTGGTTTCTGCAAGCTTCTCTATTGAACTAGTACACTTTTCTCCATTGTAGTTAGTATGTCACAAGCAGCTTTATGGTGAGGAACTGAAGGCTCCTGCCAAAAGCCAGGAGAGAGAGTTTGGAGGTGATGTTACATTAATTATTTTATTAAGGTGGTTTCTGCAAGCTTCTCTATTGAACTAGTACACTTTTCTCCATTGTAGTTAGTATGTCACAAGCAGCTTTATGGTGAGGAACTGAAGGCTCCTGCCAAAAGCCAGGAGAGAGAGTTTGGAAGAGGATTCATTAGCTCTTCAAATGACTGTAGCCCTGGCTG